CGCACTCGTTAAATTTGGCGGAGCAGGACGGGGACGTGCCAACGCGACGGAGACGACAATGAGTGGGACCGAGCGCGATACATATTCCTTTCTCACTCAGGGGCAGAGGGGGGGGGGAATAAATATATATAATCAAACATTACTACAGTAAAAAAAAAAACAAAATCTGCATAATTATTCAATAAAATCACTGGGAAAACTATAGAGTTTTCCAGCGACAGCGCTGGGATTTTCCATGATTTTTTTGGACGTACGTGTCAATAATAAATATGTCTAGAAAAAAATCACGAATGAATTTTTTTCCGCGAAAAATTTTAAGGACTCGGGGAAAAAACTCTTCTTTTTTTCCCAAAGCCCCCGTTATTGAGATAAATATAAATCTTCCAAAGTGCAATCATTGGTGGAGAGAAACTCTCCAGATGTTGGGAATAATCCAGTGTTCTTCAATTCTTATCTACGGAGGTTTTTTCTTTAACCCTAGTCTGGTCACCTGACGGGAAAATGCGACTTTAGTCACCTTCGCGGGAAAGTGCCGCCGTGTTATTTAGGCTCCAGCATTGCCGAATCCACTCTACACTTCCCGGGCGCGTTTAGCGAGTTGCCAGCAACATCGCGCAACAGGCAATTTCATTTAACACGGGAAAAAATTGTTCACCTGTTGGAAAAAAATTTTTTTCTCCCAGAATTAAGGATACAATATTGAAAAAAAATACTAGAATTTTCCAGATACTTCAATTGACGAATTCAATTTTTCTCAAATTTTTCCGGTGAACCAGTCGATGGCAAGGTGAATAAAACGACGTGTTGCGGCAATTCCCTCGCATGGTAACCAGTCTAGGGTTAATAATTGAAGAAGTATGTAGAACAAAAATTACATAAGCCACGGCTTCTGGAACTCACAGTAATCTCGCTTGGAATTCGTAAATTTGATTCTGTCTAAGTGTAATTATCTCAGTAATAACACCGACATCCGAGAGGATACATCAAAAACCCTTCTTCGATGGAAAATCCTCCCAGAAACATGAGTCTTTCTCATGTTTATTCCGAAAATCTCTCAGTAGTAAAATATATGTAATATGTAGATAATTAATAGCGCTATTATTTTTAATCCTAAAACTGCACATTTATTCTTCGATCCCCATTAGTTGCACATCTAGGTCAACTAGCATGTATGAAAAAATTCAATAGAAAAACCTAGCGATGTCGCTAGACAACTCTAATGGATTCCCATAGAACTTTCTACAAGTTGATGGTGTTCGAAATGTTCAATAGAAAATTTTCTATAGAATTTTCTCGGCTCGAATTTTCAAAGTTTTTCTTCATTCAATTTGCCTTTTTTCCCTTCAAGCAAAACAAACAAAAAAGACGTAGAAAATTTGAGCCAAATAAATTATATAGAGAGTATTTCAATGGAATGGCCTAGTGTTTTTATATTGAAACGATTCATGCGTAAGACCCACAATTTTCTGTAAAATATCCTAGCTTCTATTTTTCCGATAGTGTCTTTTTCTATCGCATGATGGTTCATCTATCGACTGATAAAATGCATGCACGTATGAAATAATTTCATAGAAAAACCCCGTTTTCTCTAAGAAATTCTATTGAAAAATTCTATTTGTTTATTGCGCCATTTCTATAGAAGTTTCTGCAACTTTATCATGTCATTTTGTTAACAGATAGATGATAGAAGTCCTTGTGCCTGAATTTTTCGTCTTTTCTGCTGTTTCCATTTTTCATCAGTTTCTGATATCACTTCTGAGAAGAAAAAAACTTAGAAAGTCCATATCCAAAAATTTTCATAGAGAAAATCCTATCGCAATAAATTATGTACAGAAATCAACATCTATCGTTATTTTTCGGTAAACAAATATCTATTAAAAACGCATGGGGAAGTTGAATGATATTTGATTGAATATTGCGGAAAAAAGAAAAACCCTTTTTCAATAGAATTCTAATAAAATTCCAATAGAATTCTGATAAAGTTCCAGAAGAATTGCAATAGAACTTTTCAGAGAAAGCCCTAGATTTTTCTATTATTAATTTTTTTTCGTGCATGTAATTATTCAATTCTCCAATAGCAGTTCAACGAGTTGCATTGTCACTAAAAAAAAAACCTTTTTCTACAGAATTTGGAATATTTTATTCTTTTACTAAGACATTAGACGAGATGAAATAATATTTGAAGGATTAAGATCTAACGCTGAGAGTAGAAGCGGAGGATTTCTTCAAAATAGATAGTTATTTCGCACTAGCAACCATTCGGTAGAAAAAATATTCGGGCCGGGTTTCAGGTGAATACACGAAAAAGTAAAAGACTTTTAGATCATTAGATTCTGCATTCATTATACAATTGATTATATGTTCGATTTTACATTCCTGACAATTATTACAAAATGCGAGGAGCTACTGTATTGAGAACCCACTTCCGATTATCGAAAAAATTATTACTCGGGCCCTACCATACCAACAGTTCCGTACGCTCCATCGTAGTCTATGCGCCACCGCTACGAATTTTGCTGTTGAACACTTTACATTGGCCCTGCTGATCTCCCCTATAACTTTGTGATATGCATGTGATATCTAATTTATGTATGGAGTGGTGAGTTTTATTAAGTTATATTAATTTTTATTAAGTTCACAGAATATCCATCTTGTCGCTATGGAATCGTAGAAGTACACGAAACACCTATTCTACCCCTATGGCATCGTATGACTTTACGAAAAACCCATTTTGCCCCCATGAAATCCTAGGAGTACATAAAACATCCATTTTACCCCTACGAAATCGAATGAGGTCAGCAAATACCCATTTTGTTCAAATGAAATCGTGAAAGTTCACAGAATACACATTTTGCCCCAAAGAAATTGTATAAGTTCACAGAATACCCATTTTGTCCGAACGAAATCGTATGTGGTCAGTAAATACCCATTTTACCCCCATGAAATCGTAGGAGTACACGAAAAACCCATTTTGCCTCCATGAAATTGTAGGAGTACAGAAAAGACCCATTTTACCCCTAACAAATCGTATGAGGTCAGAAAATACCCATTTAGCCCCTGAGAAACCGTATAAGTTCACGAAAAACCCATTTTGCCCCAATTAAATCGTATGAGGTCAGTAAATACCCATTTTACCCCAATGAAATCGTATGAGGTCAAAAAATACCCATTCTACCCCAATGAAATTGTAAAAGTGCACAGAATACCCATTTTGTCCGAACGAAATCGTAGGAGTTCAGAAAAGACCCATTTTACCCCGAAGAAATCGAATGAGGTCAGAAAATATCCATTTTGCCCCTATGATATCGTATAATTCAATGTGCTTGAGATATCTCTCTAATTGATTATCTTAAACTAAATATTATTTTGATTTTATCTATACAGTTCTAACTTGAAAACTCTTCTTTACCCCAAAAACCATACTCCGTGGCGTCACTATCGGATGGTGTCCTTTTCGCATTCTCATTTGACAATTTTTCCGTTTGACAATTTTTCCTTACGTCCAAGCGTTCACATTCGCATGGGTCGATAGCATGCATCGACCCCGTACGTGAGGGGTTAACGTGACGCGTGCAATTGTTTAACTCAATCATTCAACTATTTTTCCATTATTTTAATAATTACAAGCGTTGCGTCAAACCTGCGTTGCGTTAATTGTGGAATCTCCTTAATAGTAAGCAGGTATTGAGCGGAGAGTTTTCGTTTTTATCATTGGAATTCATGTTTTTGGGATCCCTGACCACGAATATGTTAGCTGCTTTTGCTAGATGTAATTAGTTTTGTTTATCTATAACAATTTATATGTTTATGACGCAATTTCGCGGAAACAGTTCGAGTTAGGCAAAAAAGATATTTAATAAAAAGTGTTCCTTGTCAAAAAATACATATATTTTGTTTTATTATTGTTATTCCTATCTCTTATAGTTATCTAGTTATCACCTCTAAAAACAGGTCGTGAAGAGCGGAGGTGCTCACATTAGGAATAAATGCAAATAGTTGAAATGAAGAATGTTCCTTATTAAAAAATATATAACTATTGTTTTATAACATTTTTTCCGAACTTCAACGGTTGATGAAATAATTTGATGGAAATGAAGAAAAATAGCCCCAATTGTCCAACGCGATATGCAATCCAAGTTGTTTCGGTCAATTTGTCATCTTTTAGACCGTTTTCTGACAATTAATCTTTATTATGAACTTTTTTCTTTTCTCCGATTATTTCAGGAAATATTTGAACGAAAAGACGGCGAGGATTGCCTAAAACGTCGGTAACAACATCGCCGAATGTCCGATAGGAATTTATTGTTCCTTATTTAGACAGTACTCAACCATTTCCATTGTAACTTGAACGGAGTGCGCGAAGAGTCACGGGCGCGCGTCTCTGCTCTCCACGACCTGGTTTCAGAGATGATAACTCGATAACTAAAAAAGTTAGGAATAATAATAATGGGACAAAATGTAAGTATTTTTGGACGGGGAGCACTTTGTTGAAAACTGTTTTGCCTAACTAGAACCGTTTCTAAAAAATCGCGTTATAAACAATTAAATTGTTATAAATAAACAAAACTAAACACATCTCGCAAAAACGGTCAATGTATCCGTATTCAGGGACCCCAAAATGGACCCCAATGCACCTAACAGTGTACATGAAACCTTTCCCAGCGCATGGACTGATATATGACGAAAAAAGTGTTTACTATTTCGACAATATCTCCAAAACCACGAAAATTAGCACGAAACCTTCATCCTCTACAAAAAAGTTGTTCTGATAAATTTGGACAGAGATCGTCCCTCAAGAGATATTCACAAAATAAATTGATCGCCAATTAAAAATGAGGGAGTAAGAAAAATAGGAAATGTCTGAATATTACAGTACTGACTCCACTCAATCATCAACTCTTTTATATTTTTGAGTGGTTTATTTCCATAGGGGTATGTGGGTGGAATGGAGGGTGGACCGGGGAGGTGAACTGACTCTCTATAGGGAATTTAGAAGTTACCTTCGTGAAAATGCTGCTTCACAGTGGATACAACGGTATCTTCTGTCCCCAGTGTGTAGTTTCACGTGGCGATCTCTACTTCGTTTGTGTTTAAACAATCTTGCGCACCAACTGCATCTGTATGGCATCTGATCGCCATGGGTCTAGAGTCAGGGAGTAAAAGAAATCATCTGTACAATAAATTCGGGGGTTCATCAGTTTCTTCTCCAGCGAGTACCTTTTTCTTTCGTTTCTTCATTCATTTCCGTTTTTTTTTGTTTTGGACTCACCTGCTCGTGTTTCTTCAAACAACTCAAACTGGGAAACGTTTTAACGCAGAATTGACATGAGTATGGACCTGATGAGTTATGGGAATCAACATTTATTCGCAATTCTCCATCGATTTCAGTTTCTGAGGGAAAACTTTGGGATGTGGAGGTTGCACATGATGACGGGGTGCCACCACCTCGTTGACAGGTCAAACTGTCTTCTTCACTTCGCCAGGAGTAACTGCCACTTAATAATCCATCTAGAAAAATTAAATAAGAGTGTCATTGGGAATTCAATTTTTTTGCATTAAACAATTATGAATTTTTGTAAGGAATGAAAACTGCATGTTCAAACTTCGTGAATTATAATGAATTGATATAACATAAAAAATCAAAAACTTAAATTTTAACGACTACAAAGTTTCCGTGAGGAAGGAAACATTATTAAATTTGCTAAATATTCGAAGGAATCAATTTTCTAATTATGTAAAAGAAGGAATGGTCATTTGGAAATTAATTAGTGGATGGAAAAGGCATGGAGTCATCCCTGAGAAGAACCACTCGAATCCGTAAAAATAAAAAATCCATTGGGATAACCACAGCGGCTGGAGGAAGTTGAAATAACAACTCTCATTTCCTCATTTAGTAAGTAATAAAGCGTGCGACACCCACGAGTGTAATTTTACTGATTTTACGAAATTTTTCGTGTCTAGTACAGTCATCTTAAATTCTAATAAAACAGGACGGCCAATGCAATCCAGTGGAGCGACGTGCTCATAAAATCGGTTGCATCCGTTGACACCTACACGAGAGCCACTCGGTTTTATTAACTAAACTAGGCGCCACCTAAATTCATGGAGGAGCCCGGATGTGGGCGATTACTCTATCTAATTATTATTATTCTACAGGAATTATTACTATTGGTGATTATGAGACATGGAATGTTCTCTTTCGAAATGATCAATTATGATTTTTAAAATGTCGTTCAAAGGAAAAGGTGTGGGAAATGTAATTGGATAGAATATAAAATCATTGAGATAGTCACGACAATTGCTCTTGAGATTCTCGCCCCAAACATACCATCTCTATGCAGTCGTTCTGATTCGATTAATTGCCTTTTCGGTGTTGCACAGTTGATCACCTACGAGATGAGGGAATATTCCCTTTAAGACTTCAATCTTCTCAGAGTTTGATATTTTTTAGAGATTTTCTTTTGTGGTTAATATTCGAGCGCTGTGTAGGATCACAATTGATTACAACAATGATTGAATTTTATTGGAAAATCAACTAGATAAAATATAAAATCATTGGGATCATATAGTTTGGGGTCGATAACGATCACAATTGCTCTAGATCTTCTCTCTAGCTTTCCTCATCGAATCCTAACTCATTTCCGAACTGCCACTCCTCCGAACACTTCTCATATCACACCTCAATTCCATAAATTCAATCGCAAAGCTAGCGTTTTTATTCAGTCTCTCTGATTTGATTAATTGCGTTCTTCGTGTTGCCCATTTAGTCATTCAGAAGATCAGGATGTGTTCCCCTTAAGACTTGAATGGTTTCAGAGGTTAAAGTTTTTTACGGGTTTTCTTCGTTTTCTAATATCACATCATTGTCTAGGGTTAAGATTAATAATAAAAATGAGTGAAATGTATTGGAAATTTAATGGAATAAAATAGAAAATCCTAAGGATTTCCAAACTTTTGTATCTCCACTCATTCTCTATACTCTTTGTCACATATTGAGCATGAACCCTTCTATTATCAGAAACCGTCACTCACTCCAAACACTTCTCACACTACAACTCCATTCCATAAACTCAATCTCAAGTCGCTCGTCTCTATTTAGTCTCTCTGATCCGATTCATTTATTTGTCGGCCTCATGCATCCGGTTATTTTCGTACCGCACTCTTTCCTCTTTCATTTCTTCGTGCACTCACAATTATACAAGAATTCATACATTGATTACCCTAGTGGAAAAACATAAGGTGGAGGCGTAAAGTGCCTGATCAGAATTTCGGATCGAACTTAATCAGTTTCTGGTCGAGACCTGAACAGAATTTCCACTCGGGTACTTCAGGACATAAAAATTCAAAATATTTTCTTCTTAATTAATAAATAGAATCAACAATATTTGTTCACATGTTATTCGAATTGAAATAGTATATTACGTTACACGTGTGAAAAAGGGGGAATATTAATACGAATAGGGTAATGTTTTTAGGGAGAGTCGTAGGACCCGAGTGGAAATTCCGGTCAGGTCTTGATCAAGTTTGGATGAGGTTAGACCTGACCACTGATCAGGTATTGATCAAGTTGACAGATCCGGTCCTGATCGGACATGTTACGCCTCCGACCAATCCGGATTTGACTTGTCTGTCAGTATCAATAACAATTATCAATGATAATTTATTCAAAACAAAAAATAATTCAATTCTTTCACCATAGGCCGCCTCTCTTAATGAATCTCTACTGTTATTAGCTCTGAAAAAACTTATTATTTTTTTACCGATGCTGGGGATCGAACCGGGGACCCTATGATTGCTAATCCTATGCCCTAACCACTACGCTATCGCGCTGTTACTATTGAGTAAACTGTATATTGCCTATATGATTTGTATCGGGGTATTCATTGAATTTACGGTTATTCCTGATCTCGCGGATGTGCGTGTGTATTCTCAAAGATAAAATATGTTCAATTAAATTTTTATTTATTTCATTAATGAATAACAATAATGATAATAACAACAACACTAATAAATGAATAGACATTTAGTGATTTTTTTTCTGAAGATCATTTACGTGTAAGTTTGATACGCCTCTAATACGTATTTACGGCATCATCATCCCTCCCTTCTGTACATTTGAAAAGGGCTGGCTGTTAATTTAATTAATTAATTAAAATAAATTCATTTAATTAATTTAATTTATTTTAAGTATAGTATAATGATCCTTTTTGAAGACTGAAAATAATTATTGATAATGGTTGATACAACTTAATTTGAATAGTATAATAATAGTTAGTTAAATTATCCGAAAAACTTATTAAAATTGACGTCAGGTGGACCGGATCTGAATCTGATCATTTTCTCTTCAATTGACTCCGTTCAAATGCCGATCAAAGACATCGAATCCGAATTTGATCAAATTTGGGTCAGGCAGCCGACCTCAGGGTGAGATCGTGCCTACCTGATCAGAACTTGATCTGAACCCGCCTGTAGTTTTTCGGATCCGATCTGCTGGGTCAGAACTTGCTCAGGTTCTCATCAGGCATCATCTGATCATGTCTACCTGATCAGAACTTGATCTGAACCCGCCTGTAGTTTTTCGGATCCGATCTGCTGGGTCAGAACTTGCTCAGGTTCTCATCAGGCATCATCTGATCATGTCTACCTGATCAGAACTTGATCTGAACCCGCCTGTAGTTTTTCGGATCCGATCTGCTGGGTCAGAACTTGCTCAGGTTCTCATCAGGCATCATCTGATCATGTCTACCTGATCAGAACTTGATCTGAACCTGCCGGTAGTTTTTCGGATCCGATCTGCTGGATCAAAACCTGGTCAGGTTCTTATCAGGCATCATCTGATTATGTCTACCTGATCAGAACTTGATCTGAACCTGTCTGTAGTTTTTCAGATCCGATCTGCTGGATCAGAACTTGGTCAGGTTCTCATCAGGAACCTTACAAAAACATGATCAAGTTCTGATCATGCTTCAGGTGGGCGTGAAGCAATTTCCACTCGGGTTGATATTTCGATTTTTGCGTCTGCTAGAGACCGACAACGATTTCGAGGTAAAAAAATAAAAAAATCGATATATCTTCAAAACTTTATATGAACGGGTATATATATTTTGATTGATTAAGATAAAGGACATCAGGACGAACATTGTGAAAAAAAAATATTGCAATAAGGTAACTCGTTATTCTGATATTGGAGAAATTAGGTTTACATACAAAGTTGAATATCACTGAAACTAATTATCCGATTCAGCCCAGATTCAATACGAACTGTTGTTATTACTACAGGTCCATTCGTGTCAAATTTCAAGTTGATATTCCGATTTTTGCGTCTGCTAGAGACCGAACAACGATTTCGAGGGAAAAATAGAAAAATCGATATATCTCCAAAACTTTGTATGAACGGGTATATATATATTGATTGATTAAGATAGAGGACATCAAGACGAATATTTTAAAAAAATATTGAAATCGATTGGATATTTTCCGAGATATTTTGGAAAAAGCATAAAAAACAAATCGCTATTTCTCAAAAACTAATAGACGGATTCAGCTGAACTTTGGCGTTGAGTTAGTCCTAAATTATACCAATAAACTGACAAAATTTCAAATTATTGGGGATGATTTCGCCTGTTTATTCGTCAATTTTAAGAAAAAGTGAACACCCACTGGACATGATCACATACAGACATGGTTCTCAAACTTCCTATTTTTCCGTTTCAGACCATCCTGCATCGTTTCCAAACAAAATTAGCGAGTCGAAAAATCAATCGAATGCAACGCTTCCATCCAGATGCATAGTTTCATTGCAATGCTTCCATTGAATATATATATATATATATATATCTATATATATATATATATATATATATATATATTACACTCAAATTAAGTATATTATAAACTTGATTCAAGTATATTTTATACTCAATTGGGGGAGGGTATTTCTATCCCGAGATGATTGTTTTGTATCACGCCGGGTTATAATATAGCAAACTCTATTAAGTGATAATATGAAGTGTAATATGAGGGTCAGACAATTAGGGTCAAAATACACAGAGAAAAAAAGTGGATTAGGTTTAGAAAAAAGTTTCTAAATTTTAGAAACCGTGGTTTCTAACCATCAATTTTCTAAAATCTAGAAATTTTTTTCCATGTTCTAGAAAAAATCGTTTAACATTATTGATCAAAATTGGGATTAATTTTAAACGAAAAAATACTTAATTTTAGAAAAAATATTTTCTAAAATCTAGAAAATTCCTTCAATTTCTGAGGGGAGATTTTGCAAAGACGGGAAGGGGGGGTTGTGAATTGAGAATATACAACCAAAAAAATTGAGTCGGTGAGTTTTTTAAAAATATCTCCGAAACTAAGCGAGATAGCGAGTTTTTACTGAAAATTTGGAGTGGCAGGGGGGGGGGAGTGATTTTAGTAGATTTTAGAAACTCCAATTCTTAAGCTTTATGCTTGGTGGGATCATAAAAACTAGCGAATTTCGGAATTGTTTTAAAGAACAA